GTGGTTTAAGGAAATTTGTGATCACTGTTTAGCGTGCAACGTGTAAGCTGTCAACTGGTTGAGTGCTGCCCATTCACCTTCATCCTTGGGGAAAATATTGTGCACGGGGTGAAGATGATGAACACCACTGTTTTCTAGATGAAAACATTCTTACCAGAGGGCTGGACGTTCGAGCCCAACCCTTCAACAAAAATGACACAGGGGATTTTGGGACCAGTGTGTAGGTCCTGTGGTCTTGGGCTCACCTTTAATCTTCACAGACATGATTATGATGGATAAATTTGAGCTAAAAAAAGCTTAAAAAAGGGAACTGTGCAGTCAACAAAGCGTTCAACAAAGCCTCCCTTGGGGTCAGTGAGAGTTTAGTCCAAGCAGCTTGGGAACATCTTCATTTTTGGCCCTCACAAAGATCATAGGGTCAGATCTTTATGATGCTAACATACAGCTTTGTGGCTTAGTATAACACTTGTTGTAGCACCAAGAATTATATTTTTTAGACGTCTAGACAGATCGCACGGGGCTTAGCCTGGGCCATCTGACCACAGATCACAGGGCATGAAGTGAAACGCAGGGATGGGAGTGGGAATGGCAGCTCTCTTATGGGTCTTCCAGGCTGGTGTAGGGAGTGAAAAGATGAACTGTCCTATTTTGCCTCTTCATTCAAGAAGGTGAACTGAGTTCATGCTTCTCAATAGACACTTTGATGCAAATTTTGCCTTTTTTCCCATGTTTGATGAACAAGAACAGCCTGGACACATAGAAGAGGCRGAGTGCTGAGCATTAAACTGAAGGGAAGGCAGTAACACTGGAAAAAGAGGAGGAGTGGAAAGTCTGTTCTTGCTTTAAAGATATTTCCTCTATTAAACGAGCTTCTTTTTGAAAAACATCTAAACCTACGGAAAAACAAGCCCCACCTCGTGCTGGCTACGCTGCACGCACTCTTTCTCTGGTGGGGTTTGTCCTGGTGCCACCCCATGGCAAAAATCAGCCTTGAATTTCCTACAGAGCAGACAAAATTGGGAAGAACTAGTAGTCTGGCTCCTGGACTCTTGCAGCACTCCCTGTTTTGTAAGGAAATTGGCCTGCAAAGYCAAAACAAGCATTTAACTACAGGAATAGGGTGTTAGTTTTATTGTTTTGTTACTTGCTTGGAGAGGCRTCTTTAATCCTAGGAGGATTTTTGCATTTCCCACATTGGGAGCTATATTCAGGGTGTCCCCAGCCAGCTTAAGGTTCACCTAAACCAATATTATTGGCTCTTACATCCTTTGCTGTCGTGTCTGCAATAAGCACTGCAATTGTTATTAATGAGTTGCCCGTTATGATGTTGTAGAAAAGCTGGTTTGCTCTTTGGGTTAATATTTGCAGGGAGATTTAAGGGAACTTGCAGCTTTAACCAGGGGTGGATATGAGCAGTCCTGAGCTGGTACCATGGTCATGTCTGTGCTCTGTGGCTGGGAAGTGGGCGATAATAGCTACTTATTGCAAAATTACAAGAAAAAAGCCATGCAATTTTATTAATATCCATGGATGTCGTCAGAGCATAAAGCTTTTCTGAAAGGTGCCTCCTTGGTAGGAAAATGATAGCTTTAGTCTCTCTTAGTCTAAACTTTTACTTAAATCTCATTTTTTCTGAAGTTAAATTGAATTTAGGTGCCATTGTTGCCATGGCAATGTGCATGAGGTCACAAGTCAGGATTATGACTTCACCATAAGACAGTTCATAAGGGCTGAGCTTTTTGTTCAGCTGCTCGCAAAGAAAGCAAAGGAAAGCATAAGATTGAAAGGGTGAAACAGTGTTTTTAGGAATTGTTCTCTATAAGGAGCGTTTTAAGCTATTCCAGACTGGAATTGTTCCTTCTGATCATTTATACCACAGCGCAGGCAGCTTGAAGTCTTGTTTTCAATCAGTTCTCATCAGCTGTTTGTAGGGCATAACTGGTCATCAGGAACACCTCATATTGCTCCTTCCTCATTATCTACATAGTTATTTTCAATATACAGAAAAATGCCTCCTATAGTTTTATCTGAATCCTCATGCTGATTGTTTCATGGTGATGTAAATGCCTGTTAACTTTTCTAYCTATGTAGCCTGGCTTTTTGAGAGCTTGCACATAAGCCCTTCCACCYTGTAAACAAGTGAGCAAGTTCAAGATGCTTTTAGTCCTAAGAACTTCTATAAAAAACTACTTTTCCTAAAAGATTTGGCCATCTGCCATGGCTGCAATCTGGTCCTTTGGATGTTCGCTTGTCACCCCGACTGGCTGCTGGAGAGGTTTGGGGCTGGCATGAACCAACCTGGTGTAAAGCTACCTGCGCCTCCGGGTGAGCTGGCCCATGCTACGTTGGAGGTTGGCTCCTCCARCTTGGCAGGAGACTGCTGGAATTTTCCAGTTTGCCATTGCAAGCTCCTCTGTTGTTGAGGAAGGGCAAACAGGTCTGCACAAGCCTCTAGATCACCTGGAAAGCAAGCGGGAGCTAAACTGTTGTGCAAAAAGCCCTTTTCTTCAGTCAACTTTTCAACTCTGTAAAGCAAAGTGGCCTTGCATCACATGAAGGTCCGCGTTTGGCTGCTCCTGGCTTATTGCCTGAGTCAGGCRGTGGGAACCCATGGAATACAGGCGATGTGTCAGTGTTGTTACTGCTCTGTCCTGCTTTTATTTCCTTGTTTGGAGTGCTTTCACTATTTGAGTTATCCCGCCTGGCTTCTTATCATTGTGCATGCTTGAAAAGACAGAGAACTTCAACACCTGAGCAGCAGACAGTGTTCAGGTGTTGGTGGGTTTTTCATTTGCAGCTGGAGAACACAAAGGTCTCACTGCACAACAATGGGCTGTTTGTGGGATCAGAAGTGCCAGCAACATCTGGGATGGGAGGACTCGCAAGATCCTGGCATTCACTCAACTGGGGGATTGAAATGGGGCACAACCTCCTGCTGCTCAGGCTGGTGGTGCCTTGCAAGGGTGGTTGGGCCTGTAACCCATTTTATCATAATAAAAAGGGTTCCTGGGAAGCAATTGGATTTTGATCRTTTCTTAGCTCTCCTAGTTGCTTATCAATACACCTGGGATGCTCTGCTTTTCCCGATGAGAAAATATCTCTGTCAGTGTTTGAGCTGTGGGATGGGTGTTCTGCCCCACAGCAGATGCAGGTGCGAGCTTGAGAAATGGGGTATTTGGAGCAGGAATTGCTGGACATGGAGAGAACCCTTCCGATGTGGGSTTGCATCTGCTGGGTGCTCTGCAGTGACGTCCAGGTGTTACTTACGCTGAAGTAAGTACCTTACTTGCCTCCAGGCTTCTCCTAGAGAAGCAGCATCACTTAATTTGTCTCGCCAGCCTCTAGTCATCTGGTTACTCCTGAAGGGTGCATCAGGGAAGGAGTTTTGATCTGGGTGGTTTACCTGGTGCCCAGCACATGGTTCCAGCAGATGCAAGCACCTGGACTATCTTGTTCTCCTCAGCCCAGGACTCAAGGGGCTGCAGCCARTCTATCCTTTTGCATGTTCCTCTGCATGAAGGAATCTCAGCAGCCTCCTGTGGCTCATATCTTAGGTTCTCCAGCTTCATGGGAGGCTGTTAGCAGGGAAAGGTATCTCAGCAAGCTTGGAAGTTGAGGGAGATATTTGCTATAGCTCTTCTCTGGGGAACCCATAGCCTCTTAGGCTGCAAGCTGAGTTGCTTGGGACCACCTATTCCCTCTTGCTCCCTTCTGGAGATCTGGTGGGATTCAGGCTCCTGTGCTCATGGATTTTGACATGCGATTAATATCAATTACCTATCCAAGCAACTCATTCTGGTTTTGACATGGTGCAGAAAAGGGAGCCCCTGGGTCAAGTTTGGTGTCTGTAGGTGAAATTACTGCTCCTTGATAACTAGAGTGACTCCAGATGCTAAATTGAAGAGCCTTCTTACCTGTTGTCAGCAATGAGTGACCCCTGGTCCTTAATGGCACTGAAAGTTGGGATTCTAGCAAATCTTCAAAGTCTTTTAGGAAAATATAAGCGAGGTGAGGGCTGTACTTGACTTGCTCCCTGTCAAGTGCGCTGATCTGGCTTGGGTTTGTCAAGGGGGCTGCAGTGTTGGGTGCTGCTCGCCCAGGGCCTGGAGAGGGCAATGCTGGAGGAGCACGTGGCGAAGCTGAGGTGGCTGTTGTAGTTGTCTTGGTGCTGTATGCTAGGATTGCTGCAATATGAAACGCTATACGGACCCAGGGTTGGTAAAATTGGCCGGAGCTGATGCTTGCTACCAGTTTGTGCTGTGTTGGCTGTCACCAGAGTGAAGCTGAGCAGCACTGGGTGGCTTAGCAGAAGGATTGCAGGAGCAGCGCGGCTAGACACGGCGCAAACTGCACAGCCCAGAGGCAGCAGCTCTGGGCGCTGATGTCCCCCTTGGCCACCAGCCAGGGACACGTTTGGCCACTGCCACTCCGGAGCCAGCCTGGCAGGGGTAACGCCTTGCCTTGCCACGCTTCCCCGCCTGCACTCTTACCCTTCGCCTTGGCAGCCTCCTTTTGCTGCCTCCCTTTCCAAAAGCGACTTTGAGCCTCATCCCTGCACCCCGAGGGAAAGGGGGCAAAGTAGCCCCTGGGGGGCTACTGATGCGGGGCGGAGCAGGGACCTGGGGACAAGGAGCAGTTCAAGGGGACAGCGGGGGCTTGGGGACAAGGAGCGGCCGTTCAAACTTGCCGGGGGGGCCGGGCCGGGGCCGGGCGGCGCCGGGGGGGCCGGGCCGCTTAGGGGGCCGCGCCGCCCGGCCCTGATTTGCTGCGCGGCTCCGAGATTGACAAACTCTCGCCTTGGCTTTAAGAGAAAAAAGGAGCGAGGGGGCGAGAGAGAGAGAGAGAGGGAGCGGGAGAGGAAGAAAGTTTTTTGCTCCCGCAGCAAGCAGGGGAAGGGCCGAGCGCGGAGCCCCCCGGCAGCCCCATGACTTTATAAAGCGGCTGCTCCCGGGGGGGGAGGCGGGGGGGTCTGAGCGGCTTTTATTCGCTTTTCTTCTTTTTTCCCTCCTTTTTCTCAGATTTTTAATTTTTTAAATTTTGATTTTTCCCTCGGCGCTTGCCGAGTTGTCCCGAGCTGGTGCCCCTCTTTCCCCGGAGCATGGATACGCACACGCGGTGGAAAAGGCGAAGCTGGATACGGAGCTGGCCCGCGCTGCTCGTGCTGGGCGCCGCGGCCCTGCGCGCTGCAGGTAACGCGGGCGCGGAGCGGGGCGCGCGCGGGGACCGGCCCGGCCGCTGCCCGCCCCGCACCCTCCGGCCGCGGGGAAGGAGGGAAGGAAAAGCTGGAGCTGCCCGAGTCTCTGGATGCCATTTGTCAGGGGGCCCGGRAAAGGGGAGAAACTTAAGACTTTTTCCCCCTTAAATGTTTCTGCCTGTTGCTCGTTTTTTTTCTGGAGCGGGGGCAATATGTGCAGCTAGAGCTTGTGGTGGTTCTTATACACGCGTATATATGCACGTATATATGTGTACATATGTATGCGTTTAGCTGGAAAACTCTTCTTGCCGAGTTGTTCCTCCTCCTCCTCCTCCTTGAGGAGAGGAAACTTTTGTCGGGAAGGAATCTGCTCCCTGCTTCAAAGCCCCGAGCTGGAGCACAAAAGCTGTGCGGGCTCCGCGCGCCCGGGCGAACCTCTCTGCGCTCCTCTAACCCATTTTGTAGAGTTTTCCCCCTCGAATTACTGCTGCTGAGAGTGGCAAGGAGCAGCACTGTGGAATAACAGATGCAAAAGTTCAATATGCAAAACGGGCACAACAAAAAAGGGAAAAACTCCTTGAAATGTCATTATAAAAACCGTGCAGAAGCGGGACTGAGCACTTTATTTTGCCAGCCGGATGCTTTGGGTGCCCTGTGCGTTCTGGGGAGCTTTGCTTCCCAAATATCTGTGCTCCCTGTGGTGGATTGTGAAAGACTGGGGCAGAACAGCTGGATATTGGTGAATCTGCTGCAGAAGTTTTGCTTTCAGGGTCTTTACTGAGATGGTAGGAGGCACTTGGAGGCATCGGTGCTCTGAGATCTTCCCGAACAGTGTTACAAGAGAATAAATGATGTGTTGCCAGGGCTGATATTGCAAAATGCAATAGTAAAGTGGATTGAGTTTTGCAGGATACTTGGCTGACTGAGCTGAAAGTGCCCGAAATAGCTGATCTGCCTGAGATTCAGTTTTCATGCTCAAGCTTGTGCAAGTTTTGGATGTTTTTGTGTCGTGGAAGCTCAGCTTTCAGGGTTGCTTGTGTGTTACTGGGACAAATGCGTGTGGGATTTGTTATACAGCCGTGCGGATGTCACTTATTGTCACTTCTAGGCTCTTAAAATGATTTTAAGCCAGAATRTGAAAGGCAGTAATGAGGAATGCTTTCATCAAGAGTTCTCTTGCAAGTTCTGAGCAGCATGGAAAATGAGTTCTCCAGTGAATAAAACGCGCCTAGGCTATTGTTGCCAGGAAAAAACTAACGGCAGTTACAGACATTGTGTTGCRTCGCACAAGTGTTGGATTATTATTGAGAGCAGCTTCCACTACTAGTACAGTATTGCAGCAGTATTAACTTAATTTCCCTTTATATGCAGCCAGTAGCATCAGGTCACGGTTACTTTGTATTAGCTGCAAGTTATATTTGTGATGTCCAGGGTTTCCAAGAATAGAGMTGTTCGTTTTTCACCCTCTGTGGTTACGCTAATAATATTTTGGTGGTTTCAGAGCATCCCTAAGCACGCTGCCTCTCAGGGTATATTCTCCAAGCAGCTTTAGCGTAAGACCCAGGTTTTTCTAAACTTACGGGCAGCCTTTGGTGCCTTTTGGATCCGTGGCAGTCTATCCATGGGAACATGGGATGTGGTGGGAGCTGGGGAACTTCTCCAGGGCCAGCTCTGAGCAGCGACTCCTGCAGCACAAGGTTCGAGTTTCCCTAATGAGCCTCCTGATAGGCCAGCAAATAATTGAGCTGAGGGAGGAGTCAGATTTGGACAGCTGATGGCATTGACTGATACCTTCTCTAGCTCTCTTTAATCCTTCCAGGCTCTTAGTTTTTTATTAGTGAAGATTTTCCTGTTTCAATTTCATTTTATCCAGTGTTATTTGTATGGAGTGAGGTGAAACCCTGAATTCTTTGCAGAAATACATCAGTTAAGTTGCTGTAAAAAGAGGGGAAGGAAAAAACACAAGGGTTTCCAGAATGTCAGAGAAGTCGAGATATCAGGAGAGACATGAACCGAAMTGCTGAGCACTGTCCTGCTAACCTCTACTCTTCCCACTTTTAACAGATGTCCCATTATAATCTAATTTACCAATTCCTGAGTGCTTTTTTTTTTTTTTTTTTAACAAAGCCCTGTAAAACTGAATTGGTTTCTGGGTAAAAGATTTTGGAAGTAGCAGTTTCCTTTAGTCACAAAGAAAAGTGTAATAACAATACATGGCATGTCCTTTAAAAGAAATCAAAATCCTGGAAGCCTTGAAGTATCTTGTTGCCATCTGTTGCTTCTCTCCTTGGCTGTTCCCCAGTCATTTAGAATGAGCTTAAAAACAATCTTAGTATTCAGCCAGTTAGAACAGTTTTGTTTAATATTTTGCCAGTTGAAAATGTTGATATTGTTTTACAAGAAGAAATATGGCTTTATAAGTTTGGAATTGGTGATGGAGCTGCTCTCCAGAGCGAGACCTGGATGCTGTCTGTGTCCTGCTTGGAAGCGGACTCTGCCTTAAAGGCAGCTGTTATTCATGCCTCATCCAGAGGATGGACTCGAGGCATTCAACTTATGCATTCCTGTTCTGTGTAAACCAGGGGCACGATGATGCATCTTCCCAAACCATTCCCTTGCAGAGGCAGCTYGTTGAAGGCTGCTCCCTTCCCTGCAGTTGTGCAGGATTGCTGGATGCAGGAGTTGCTGTTTCTGGACCTTGAGCTCAGCCAGCTCTTGGGCAATGTGCACAGGGGTTTTTCTCCAGTCCAGAGTGTTCCTGCACTGCCTAGTTTTGGGGAATGGACTATTACATCCAGGGTCTTCAGGTGGCAGTTCTTAGGCCAAGCCTGTTGAATAGCCACTATTTTTGTGTAAAGCAGCAGAACAGTGTGGACCTTCTGCCTGTTGATATTGAATTCTGGCTATGGAGATCTCTCCTGTTCTTCTGTTCTTCTCTCTCTCTCTTTTTTTTTTTTTTTTTTTTTTTTTTTCTGTTCTTCTCTCTCTCTCTTTTTTTTTTTTTTTTTTTTTTTTTTTTTTCCCCTTTCTACCACCTCTTGGTGGCTATCACTATTTTAGACAGCCAATATCGGGTCTTTCCAGATACCTTTGGTTTTAAACGAAAGTTAATACAGTGAACAGTTGTATTGGCCTTAATGCAAGGGCTTGCAGGCATGGAGGCTGCCCTGGAACAGTCAGGAAAGGGCTATAAAAAGGATGTGCACCCTAGGTTTAAGTGGGTATTGTCCCTGCCATTGCATTTTGTGGTTCAAGGAGATGGACTTTCCTTTAGTTCTGTTCTGTTTCGTTGTTGAGTGGACCTTCTCAGTCTTTGCTTCATGACTACTTGAAGTTGCCTAGTGCTGCTGGGGATGCTCTAGCATCTGCTGGTGGCTGAACCCATTGGGTGATTCTGGCTCCTGTTTTAGGGCTCTCCTTCCCCTGTGCTGCGGGCAGGGATCCAGATATGGAGCTGCTGATGTGGGAAGGGGATGTGGGCATGGGCAAACCAGGCCTTGCRCAGAGCCCAGCTTACGGCTGGGTTGGTTAATCCCCTCTTTATCTGGTCTGTTGGGATGAAATCCTCAGCTGCTGTCCCAGAACCYGAGGCCCGGACCCCTAATGACCCAATGTCACTTGGCAGCGTGTGCCTGGCTGGTTTCCTCCAGCAGCTCTGTCCTCATCCCTGCTGTCCCCTCTGCTTTGGTGCAGAATACCTGCCTCAAAGCTCCGCCGTCTGTCCTGGAGCCTGGCTTCGGTTTGTGGTTCTGAAGAGCATGCTTTCTCACAGCCGCTTTGAATTAGCGCTTGAAAGGAGGCCCCGCGTGGCAGCAGATGTGCGGAGGCAGATGTGCTGCCGTGGCAGATGTCACCAATGCAGAGGCATTTGTGCGAAGGGGCCTTTGTAGAGGTGCCCCAGGTAATCTGGGTTTTGTGCCTCAACTTCACAAATGAATATGTGGGAGAACAAGGAAATTGCTTTTCAGAGCYTCTCCTACAGAGGGAGAGCAAATTTGCTGTCTGTTCTTTAACAATTACTTTTTTTTTTCTACCTTTCTTTTTTTTCTTATGCCCTTATTCTTCCACTTGTTTCATGCCCCATTCCTCTCCCTAGGCTCCCTTGTTTTGATCCGTTTGGATGCTGAATATATTTCTTGGAGCAGCAGTTGAATGTTAGAGGATGGAATATGTGTATTCATAGGGCCTGATCYAGGTTTCTTTCATATTGATGGAAGGTTGCCCGCTGGCTTCAGTGGAAATTGGTTCTGGTTATAGAAGATAAGGAACAAGCAGGTGTCTATAAAGGCACTGAGTCTGTTTTTAAGACTGAATTCTGTCCACAATAGAAAATGTGTGCTTATCAAGATCCCTTGTTCTAGATAACTCCTCTGCTCTTGGCTGCAGCTTTCCCTTGTGCGGTGGTGAATGTGTCAGTAGAGTAGAATAGAGCAAAGTCCTTTAAGGACACTGTGCTCTTGCTTTCCCATTGGAATTAAAGATCTTTCCCTCTGTGAGAAGCTGTGATATTGTGCTGCTTGACTGGTAGGAGAGCATTCGATGTGGGTCATGACTGCCAGCAAAGTGCTTGGACACGATGCTGGGGATGTGCTGCAGCGCAGGCTGCTGCGTGATCCCAGCCAGCTCAATAACAGAGGTGAGGGACCCTGGGGCAGGTCATGCATGGGTTTGCTATTTATGTTTGCATGCTTGTTTGTGGATATATATGGTGAACATATGGATGGGGAGAGGAGAGCTGAGCCCTGGGCTGCAGGTAGAGAGGGACTGTGCTGGGACTCCTCGATGGTGCTCAGGTGCTGTGCATGTTGCAGGTGATGCTTGGGCTTAAAGACCTTCCCAACAGCTGAATTAGGAGCCTCTAGATGTATTGGCCTGCTGGTTGTTCCTTGCATTGCTTGATATGCAGACGGGCACTTATCTCTCCAACGTGGGGCATAGCCCCCAAGGTCTGGGATCATCTGGATAGAACAATTGCATTTGGAGCTTGTGCTTTGC